GATATATTAATAGTGTAGATAATGTGACACTGTCAAATTAGCACGAACTCACGCGCATGCACGTACGCTTAGCTCTGATTGGCTGAAACAGAAACCTCAATATCTTTTCTGTTTTTTAACGAAATGCTATGAAATTTAAAAGATAGGCATACTTTAGGATGTCCTACAATATGACATATAAAGATTGTCATGAAAACACGCGCATGCGCATGTGCTGCAATCTGATTGGCTTAAACTTTAAATGGCTATAACTCCCTTGTTTTTCAAGTAAACAGGATGGGATTTAGAACATAGACAAATATAATAGACTCCTACAAGATGGCATGGTCATCATGCTAATGCATGCACGTGCATACACGTGCGCTTCGCTCTGATTGGCTGAAACAAAAACCTCAATATCTTTTCTGTTTTTTGACGAAATGCTATGAAATTTAAAACATAGGCATACTTTAGGATGTCCTACAATATGATATATAACAATTGTTATGAAAACACGCGCATGCACGTGCACTGCAATCTGATTGGCTAAAAATTTAAATGGCTATAACTCCCCTGTTTTATAACCAAACGAAATGGGACTTAGAACATAGACAGACATAATGGTCTACTACAAGAAGGTATGGTCATCATACACATGCATGCACGTGCGCTTTGCTCTGATTGGCTGAAACAGAAATCTCAATATCTTTTTCGGTTTTTGACGAAATGCTATGAAATTTTAAAGGTAGGCATGCATTAAGATATCCTACAATTTGATAGATAACAATTTTCATAAATACATGCGCAATCACGTGCGCCGCAATCTGATTGGCTTAAATTTTAAATGGCTGTAACTCCCTTGTTTTTCAACCAAACAGGATTGGATTTGGATCATAGACAGACATAATAGACTCCTACAAGAAGTTATGGTCATGCACATGCATGCACGTGCGTGCACGTGAAATAAGTAAAATTAAAAATACACTTAAATGAGCATATTTTTAATGCTTTTGGATTAAATGCTTCAATATTTCATATATCAAGATTTCTAAATAGTGTAGACAAGATGATATCGTCATTACGCACATGCATTCACATGCGCACGCATGCTATGGTACAATTTGAATATACTTGGTATACTTCTGGGAAAGCGTTGTTAAAGTCTTAAATACATAGAGTTTGCCTTATTCAATGAAGCTTACAGGGAATATGGCACGAAAAGGGAGTTGGGGAGCGTTTGGGGAACATCTGTAACGGTTCCCGTTACAATTAGCACTAGTTACTAATGTTTTCTATTAGTGAGATTCATGAAATTTTGTGAACAGATTGGGCATGATTTACTAATGCATGTATAGCACTAAATAAAATGCAGATATAATTTTTCTGTACTGAAGTTTGTTTCCTCAAGTTTCTTGAATTTGATTGAATTAATTGAATAGAATTTCTCTTTATTTTTCAGGAAATATGATGCCAATTAGATTTATAAGAAAATTTATAAATCTTTGGATATTTAGAATCTGGCTGGTTTCAAAGACAACAAGAATATTTCTGATTTTAATAAGCTTTACCATTTACCTGGCAATAGGTAACATAATTTGATAAAAATTTAAATCACAGTCTTATTTCAAGATCATGATTCTTTAAATATTGGAAAATGACTACATAAATTTATCTACAGTCAATTCTTGTTATCTCAAAAACTTTGAGATATCCAAGGATTTGAGATTTTGAGGGTAAAATACTTTTAAGGTTTATATGATTGGGACTTTATAATTACATGTACTTTTGCACCATGACATTCAAGATATACATGCTTGAGATATCGAAGTTAAACTTTATCACAAAAAGACCTACTGTGAAACTGATAGATCAGAGGGGTGTAGCAATTTTAAGAATGATATTTTAAAAAATGAAATTCTCTTCTTTGTCCATTGTAGGTCCATGGTTTGTTGCAGAAGTAGTGGATGGACACACTGGCATGCTCTTTGTATGGGGGCTGTATGTTAAAGGAACCACCTTACCAGACTTTCTGACATATTTGTATGGAATATTTCAAGTAAGAGCCTTAATTATAATGTTGTGGACCAGACTTCCTGTACATTCATGCCAATAATTCAGAAGAACACCTGTAATTTTTTTTATATTTTTTCTTTCGTTTTGTTTCAGATGGTGACTTTTAACATTCCATTGCTGTTCCATGTTGGCTACGTCCTAGGTTACCCACAATCCTTCAGTGAGGCCAACAGACTCCGATTTTCCCACAGATTACGACATCTATATATACCTATGATTGCTCTAATATTATTTCAGTCCTATTTAACTCTAATTGAGTTCCCTCATGCCTATGGAACCAGAGCAATCATTCTTGGGCCTGTTAGAACAGGATCTATATTTGTAGGACTATACTGTTACTATTTAGCAAGATCACATCATTATAAAAGTGCTCTTCACTCTAGTTGACAAAAGCTAGAGTTAAGCCAATCTAATTAAAATCAGATACTTTGATCTGCTCACGTAGATCCTCAGTGTAGTAATCTACATCAGCAGATTGAAAGATACGGTTTTAATTAGATTAGATCCCAGCTAAGAGCAAATTTAATTTTATTTATTGACTTTTTTTACCCTGTCTCGTAGATTTTTTTCTTTTCTGATGAACAAATTGTTCTTTGATTGAAGAGTTCTTGTTTATGAAATGTACGAGGGGTGATCAAAAAGTTTGCAAACTATCTCTATATCTACAAAACCACAATTCAGATTAGAATGAAATTCGGTACACACATAGCCATGCACAAGGTCTATAAATAGCATATGCTGAATAAAGTTTCTCTCCTTGTTTGTGACGTCACAATGTGAAAATGACGTCACTATTTAGGTCACTTGTGACGAAAAATGGTTGTCTCAGTGGACTCGTTCAACAAACGACTGTACAATTTATTGTAATATCTTAGAAATTCCTCTACAGTATCATATAATAATTTGTACACAGTTTATTGAGATAAATGAGTTCCTATGAATTCAATTAATGGTTGGATTAATCGTTTTAGTGAAGGAAGGCTGATGGTTAAAAATGATACTTGTCATCTTGCCCAGTGAAAGCAAGTTTGAAAAGATATGTATTTTTAAATAAGCAATTTGCTATCAAAGACCTCCAATTAGCACTTTGAAAAATAGTTGAATATTTGAACAATGATAAAAGAATTAAATACCTAAGATATCGTTTACTTTAGATTTTAAACATATTAGATATGATAAAAAGGATGCACCCATTCTCTATCCACCTTGAATAAAGGTCTCTCCTGAGACAGAAGATTTGTGTTTTAATGGTCGCCATTTTTATTTTTGGAAAGGATGTTATTATCCACCCATTCTGTTGCCGATATATTTCTGACAAATTAACTGTTCTTGTCATAAAAATTAACTCACAAGGAAAGAAATATAAAACTCAGAAAAATCTTTTAACTTTTGTGACAGAACGCTACGGAGGGGGTCACGTGACTGCCAATATCACGTGATTCGCGCATGCGCAGAACGGTAGTTGATGTGCATTAAAATCGGAGAGGATTAATTTAAAATATAATCAACATTAAAACCAAATATTGTTTCTTGTATGGAAGTTATTCAATTAGTTTGCGAACTTTTTGATCACCCCTCGTATATCACATTTTATAATTCATGGAACAACAACACTGTACGTATATATGAGGCAACATTTACACAATTTGGAGGTGATTAGTTACATCCAGCTATAATTCATAAGTACTTTTTTCACTTGTATGAAGGTTTTCCAAATTACTATTCCTGTCAGTCTTGATTACAGTCTTAAAAATTATTTTTATTACTGTATACAGGGTTATTTTCGCCCTGCTTTATTTTTGCCCTTTCAACCTTGCAAACAATTTTGCCCTAGCTGTCTTAAATTCGCCTTCTTACACTTTTGTTTAAGAAATCATACTGTATTCTTTGAATTCCCCCCATTGTAAATTCGCCCAATTGAGGTAAGGGCGAAAGGAGTGGAAATAAAACGGCAAAAATTTCCCTCTATACAGTAATTTGATATTCTGTTTCCAAATGGGGTGTGCAACTTTTTTATGAATATAACTACTTTAGAAGTAAAGAATGCATGTATAATTCATGAATTCTTATGATAAAGGTAAATACCACAGCAGGCCTCTAAGTGACCTCTAAAATTTAGGCACTAGCTGACTCCTATGAAAAAAAAGTTTGTCGCCAATGCAAATTTTTAGTCGCCAGGCAAATTTGTCATAGGCCAATCTAGATATACTAGTTCATTAGGTTACCGTATATACTCGCCTATAAGTCAGTCCGCCTATAAGTCGGTTGTATTTAATAAGCTTATATTTCAGATGGACTGACCTCATGTAATACCGTTCTTTTTATAGCTCGCCTATAAGTCAGACACAGGACTCTCAAAAAAACCGACTTATAGGCGAGTATATACAGTAGTCTTAGGAAGGGGAGGAGGTCTATTTTAATCATAAAGATTCTTTTCTCCTCTTCAGAAAAAAAAAATTGTTGAAAAATTTTTCAGTTTTTGCATTTGATGATTGCCAACATAATTTTAACTGGTCCCCAGTTTGGCAGAATTTAACTTAAAGAGAATTTTTAGGTGCCAATCAAAATTATTAGTTGCCAATATTATATTAAAAATTTTAGAACCCTGCACAGTACAAATTTTTTGTCAGTCAATAGGTTCAGGGTATTAGAAACATTTCATACATGTATCCTAAACTTGGCTGTATATTCTTTTCACTCTTTAAAAGTACCACAAATACAGTTAAACCTTGTTATCCCAAACTCACTGGGAGCAGAGTGAGAGAAAAATGTGATATTAAGGGAATCAAGTTTTTTTGGTTTAAATACATTATAGAAAATTATAGAAGTGCTTGGGACTTATCACTTACTTAAACATATCTATGGTACAAGTGATGTGAGGTATTGATTTACACAGTATTGAAGCTGAACTGTTTTACATGTTTTACTTGGTGTAGAGTATTACACTGTAATACACATATTTAGAGTTGACCAATTTCTTTTTTATGGTTTTTATTATTCTTTAATATGAAAGAATGACATATCTTGGTAAAAAAAAAACATATTTTTGGAGCTGTGATTTTCAAAATTGTTCAATATCTGGAATTTTTAACACACTGTTTAAAGTCTACTAGTATTTCAATGTAAGGTTCACACCTATGTTCATGCATAATAATTTTGGATAATTATTGTAGCATTTCCTTGAGGAAAACAATCAAAGATGACTTTATTTTAAACTTTGGTTTTATTTAAATAAATGCACTATATTAATAAAGATTCAGCTTTTTCATTGCATCTATAACTAAGGGTCGCCCATGTGGCGCAGTGGTTAGAGCATGTGCTCTAGAGTCACAAAGTAAGGAGTTGCTCCTTACGGTGGGTTAGAATCCCACTGTGGGACGTGGAGACCAGTCCTTCGGATGAGACCTTATAAATTGAATTCCTGTGTCGCAGTAGGTGCTGGCATGAAAAAGATCCCTTACTGCTCATTGACCCTGACTGCCGAGCATAGGACAAAATTTGTAGCTATCCACTGGCAAGTTGTGGCAAAATTTGTAGCTATCCTACACAAAGCGATGGCAAGTTTTTAATTAGACTGGTTGTGGCGTCTCCCTATGAGTATAAAATTCTTGAGAGGGATGTTAAACAACATACAATCAATCAATCTATAACTAAGGAACCCCAACTCTGGTGTAGTTGTGTAAAGTAACTTTTCCCTTTCTTAGATTTATCATTCTGAAAGAAGGTAAGAATGTTTAATCTTCTGACATTTAACTATTTTAAAAAGGAAAGGAATGTACGTATTTTGCTTCTCATTTGGTGTTGTGAAATGTCCTGCAACATCATAATTGGAAAGTAGTGATAAAGGCTTGTTCCCATCTCGCCTTAACTGTAAAATTTAGCATTCCCATTTCGCCTTAGTAAGCTCTCAGGTGAATTAAGGTGATGAAGATTTAAAATATTTAGCATAAAGTATTTTGTTGGTATTACATGTACTATTTCATTCACTGTATTCATAAATTCCCATTAACTATTAAATTCAATCTTAAAATTTTTATCATTTAAATATTTATATCAACCAAGTAATAATGGGTGCAAACAATTTTATAGACCTATACATATATTATATAATTATGCCTTCCCAAGCCTAAAACTTGCTGACCAAGTGTCACCCCTTTTCTCCTCTTTTGTTTTGTAATATATAAGCTCTATTGATCAAGATCCAAAAGTTTGAATAAGTGATTGAAGTTTACCTTTGAAAGATCCCACAAAAGTATTAACACATAAAAAAAAAATTACGAGTTCAAAAAAATTCTTTATTGTAAAATCAAAATTTCTACACAATTAAACCTTAAACAAATTATTGCTGTAATAAAATCACCTATTAACATGCAAAAAAAAGTATCCATTCAGCAGTATAGAAAATATACAATGTGTCTGTGACTAGTTGTGAACAGGGTGTACACTTCCTGTCAGAGTATGCACTTCCTGTCAGGGTGTACACTTCCTGTCAGGGTATGCACTTCCTGTCAGTGTGTACACTTCCTGTTAGACATGGAGACATGGTGGTCACATGATAATGTTATCATAACAACACAACTTATTTAGCCTTTATATATGTTCAGTGTTAGTACATCATGTTAATTGGTACTAGATGTGCATTTCTTTAATATGATTATTTTATTTTTTGTCACACCAAGTATTTTATAACTGTCTTTTGCAAAAGTTTGAACAATCGGAACTTGATCTACCACATGTGAAATCATCAGTTTATAGTCAATGAAACCAAACGACTTGAAATGTGTTGAAAACAAAATATTTTTCTTTAAATATAATACATTTTTCAGAATTACCTGATCTAACATTATCTCTAATTTACTGCAATGAAGGTTTTCATCTCAAAACATCAGAACATGCACTGTAACTTAAAATGCATTTATCTTTTGTATCATACTGTTAAATGTGAAAAATAGTGAATATCTTGCCTCTCTGCAACTGATTTCCTCGACAATTTTTTCTTTTTATATGTCAGCCCTAGCTGGTACATAAGCTTTCTTACAGAGAAGATTGGAAAAAAAAAATCATGATTGACAATACATCTGTGAACAAAATCAATGAGAAGATTTTTTTTACAAAATCAATGAGATTTTTTTCATGAAAAATAAAAATTCAATTACTTAGTGTGGTACTATACTGAAATCATCAATCTCAAATACAAATCCAAAAATGACATGCCAATTTACAGCAAGATAGTGAATACATTTTTGTACACAATGAGTATATTGGCACATAGCTGATAACAAAAACACAAAATTATTATTGCTGTAATTATGTGTTAAAAGGCCAATAAATTTGCGAATTTACAACAAACAAATGTACAAACAAGCTATTATAATTAACACATCACTGTCAGATTCACTAAGAATAATGTCACAAAAATATTTGGCCGGAAAATGTAACGTCTGGATACACTGATCTATAGTGAAAACAAAACAAAATCCCTACAATACAATTCTACACATTTCAAAATGGGGAGGGGTGGGAAACAATGTGGAATGAACTAAAAAGGTCCTACGTAACAACATGTAAAAATCACAACCCATTGGTGATGCCTACAAAAACTAGGTCAAGGACACCTACAGAAACTATGTCAAGGACACAGAAACTAGGTTAATACCAAGAATCACCATCATTTCATCAAATGTTGAGTAAATCTAAAAATGTCTATGAAATAAAACAAAATCTACACATCAAACTTATGGGTTCATTTACATTAGAATTGTAAAGGGAATTTGTTCACAAATAAAAAAGCTGATGTGACTTAACAAATTTTACCCCCCCTTTCACAGTAATCATTAATTTTTTTAAAGTGTTGTGCATGTATGGTGATTCCTTTTTATCAACATAAGATAAACCATCACAGGGTTGTTCACAGGATAATATAAACGTGCCCTATTTAATAAATCATACGGATACAAATGATAATAAAATCAAAGGGTATGGGGGAAGGGGAGGGACAATTTTTTTGTGAGGAGATGAATTAAAATGGACATTAATCAAAGGACTCATTGTATTCATAAAAGTGTACAAGTACGCTTAAAAATTCATACATTTTACAATAGCTAAAAACATAGAACAAAACATAAGTGTTCAAAAAAATTACAGAAAGAGCTTTATATCAGTCCAAAAGTTGGAGGGATTTCAAATGAAATTTGAGGTATATATACATGACAAGTGATCTTAAATGCCAATGAAAAAAAAAATTAAAATGTACATCATAATTAGAGGAAATAAAAATCTAAAATTTAGTTGACACACACAATCTAGTAAACAATCTCTTCCTTATTCTGCAGCACTGTTCTTATTATTCTGTCACTACAACAGACATGCAAACAATTATTACATGACTTATAGGCCTGAACCCTTTATCTGTTTCCACACGTATTTTAATTTTTAAACACCCATTTTTTTTTTAACTCAACAACTTGTATTCAAAAAGCATCAAAGCTGTAGCACGTACCTAGCATCCTTTTGAAAATTTCATGAAAACTCCATTTAAGTCACAAAAATAAATTTCTGTACCTTATCTTCTACAAACACCTTAAATGTAATTTATATCATTGGGAAGCAAATTCATCTAAATGATTGTATATTTTTCAAGTATTAAACTGTCTATTAATGATGTAACAATTAATTAATACTGATATCATTTATTTGTGGATGGCTTTAGTATCTACTTCAAAAATTACTAACAAACATTACATGGCTTATCTTAATTCTTCAGAAAATAAATAAAAAACCTTTTTTTAAATTCAAAAGTTCAGTACACTACATCTAGAAGCATGCTGAATAGAGTAAAAATTGTGTACAGTGTCTGTCAAAAGTCAGACATCAGCTGGCTCTTTCTGAAAGTAAAACATTGTGTACAGTGTCTGTCAGAAGTTGGACAGCTTAAAAAATCCCTGTTGCAAAAAAGTTTGATGAAGTCCCTGATACATGTACTAAATCCACTGCCTTGCATTCACTCACTAACACACTGAGACCAGATGTACAGTTCTTTACAATGTTTTTGACTTCTTTATCAGCTCATCTATAAATCTCTGAAAAATATAAAATTCCAAAGACATTAATTTCAAATGCACACACAATCTGGGATAGATATTATCTCTCCACATATGTTTTTCTGATAGCGATCGCAAAGGAAGGGGGTCCAGGTTTGAGATGGTATACATTCGTACAACTTCTACTGGTTATCAAAAGCCATGAAATATACATATACATGTAAATGTATTGAATTTCAGATTTTGTTTTGTTTAGCAGCTGTTTAGTACAAGCATACCCCCAGTATATCCTTGTGTTTATGGGTTTAAAAATAATATGTTTCAGAAAACTTATCATTACTACTAATCTAGCTGCCATTTATTAAGTATCTATTCACAGTATATTATCACACTCTATTGAATGCATTATTTTCACAAACACCGATACATGTATCAGTAAAAAGCCTGCATATCAGATATCATACATGCTTCTGTGATAAAATATCCTATTTCTGCATCAAATAATCAAATATCAAACATGCTACTCAAGCCTGCAGGTTGATATTTAAGAAGCTAGGGCTGACAATAGTACAGAGCTGTAGGCTAAAGAACAAAATTTTCCTCTGCGATAAACAGCAATCCCACTTTACGGCAAAGCCTGATTAATCTGCCAGACTTCTTAAAATTTTTTACGCAAAAAAGAACATTACACGGAAATTTGACAGCCAGAGATGACTTGTACTTTACACATGACTGAGTCTGCAGCATTGAAGAAAATCGAGGAACTATTGACAAAGCAATAAGACCAATCTTCATGTGCCTTCTGTCAATCAAGCGAAATATTAGTGCGCAATTTTTTTTTACGTAAAATGTTACCTCTACTTCCTCCCTGGGTACCCGTGCAGTGACCAGCTCTTTCTATAAAAGAAAAGAATTGCACTCAATATAAGGAACTGGCACACACACATATATACAAGTATAAATTTTACGTGGAGTTCTAAGGAACTTTTCTGGTAAACTCTATCGCAAATTTTAACATTTTGAAGAACTTATCATATTCTAAAATGATTAAGGCAATAATTCTTTGTCTATGAAGAAGAAAGCAACATAACTGCACTTTTGAGAGCTGAAGCCTAGCTATCATGGTCATGGATGTGTTATGTTCTAAGAAAAAATATATGCTGTATCTATATCTATACTGATCAGTAAAAATTCAAAGTCTGTGGTATTTTTTCACTTGTTACAAAAATTTTAATGAACATTGCTAACAAGAGAAACAGGAAGAGGGCCAACCTACCAGTTATTTTCTTTCAACTTTAAAACCCAAACACCATATACATGCACATGTATAGGCCTTAAATAGAATTTGTTCAGTATTTTATGTGCAAAATTGTTCTCTGTGTGCTTTGTAATTTTATACCTGTGCATATTCCCTTCTTTCTACGTCTGTGTCAAGATTTAAAACGTCCTCAAGATCTAAGTTGCAGTCATGGTCTTCATTGTCCTCCTGTGAAAAATACGTAAATATTATTATTCATGTCATGCTTTATATCCCCCGTTGTATCACTCAAAATCTTAAGAAATGTCATTATGAGACACTTTATCAAAACACTTCATCTCAAGGGTAAAAAAATGTCTTAGAAATAAAAATATATGAATTGCATAACATTGCTCTTATATTACACTCAGAAAGAGATTTTAAAAATTATAAACCTTTTTTCTCCCCCTATTCAGCCTGTATAAGCTGATAGGAACGGATTTTATAGGGGCCTTAGTTCTTCCGTAAACAAATTTATTGGTGTAATGTTTTATGTAAATTCAATTACAAGCTTGATAAAACTGTTTTTGAAAGAGTTGTTTGTTTTCTATTATCTCTTGTCTTCGGTGACCTTACTGCGGTTAGTGATATATACATGTACCCACCCAACCATTGGCTCAATGTCTGTATTGTGTTCACTTTGTTGATATCATAATTTTGCTATTCCATAAATTCACATTCCCATACTTTCTTTAGCTAAATAGAATCAATACTAGCTAGGATGTTCATGCAATTGGTCATGTAGAATTTGAAGACATTTGATATGACATGTAATCCTTCGCAACATCGTGCATATCTACTTATGAAAAGCAATAAAATAATTACTTCAATTCTAGATTGCTGCTGAATGCCTTGCGGTGCATGAATTGATGATCATACCTACAGCACAGATTACTAGTATTCATTTGAATGAATATTATTAATATTCTCTTTCCTTTACATTGCGGAGCCTTGTGGGCATCATCACATTTATTACAAGTTTATCATAGCTATCTTATTTCGAATAAAGCAATGTTACAGATTTTTCCATACTATAAAGACAAACAACTTCTTTTTATCTATTTGTTATTATATGTAGTGTCTGTCCTCTCTTAAATGAACCCCTGACAACTGTAATGTAACAGGCGAGATTAATGTCCACTAAGGGGACAGGTAAACTGGGACCAATATGCTCTACAGATAAACGTCCACTACTGGACATGCTGTACGCTAAGACTGACCCACTCCTTATACTTTCTATTTTTATCACCTGTACAGCTCTGACTCAGGGGCACGAAGACCATAGCATTCCCTTGTACAGGTGACTAGGCCACAGACTGTGGTGACTTGACTTAAGGGGGACCTTATTTCCTCCTCGGTAACATGAATTGGGGGGGGGGGGCTTATTTCCTCCCTGGCTATTACTAGGGGCAGGAAGACCATAGCATTCCCTTGTAGAGGTGACTAGGTCATAGACTGTGGCGACATGAATTAGGGGGGCCTTATTTCCTTCTGGGCTATTACTACCCTTATCAGTTGATACCTTTCTGTTTACCTAAGCTCACACTTGAGATTATTTGATTTGAAAGAATGGAAGTAATTCAATCCCATATCTCGATCTATAAAAAAAAATCTATCTATATAAGTATTTCAGAATTTATCTGTTTGTCCTTGTGTGTACAAACATCTTGTCAAATAGCTGTGTGCGTTTCTTTGATCAGATAATTCTTTGTCATCATTTTTTGAGTCATATGACGAGTGTCTTTATTTTTCACATGCTTTTGCATTAATTAATCTGACTTTATTACAATCCCTTTACCATGACGAAAATGTCTTTGTTTATTTTTTTTAATTGCATTAATCAATTTGACAAACATATACACTCCCTCTGGCTCATTTGTCTTGTATGTAACCTCTGAAAATTCTCTAGCTAACTAAACGTCACTCCATATCCAAGACCTTATGCTAAGTTAGTTCATTTTTTGCTCCTGGGCCCATAACCACATGGATTAATCATCAATTTCATGCACTAACTTCTTCTCCGATAAACATTTTACAAAAACCTACACAGAAAGAGTTTCTCAACTGATCTGGAAAATGTTTACTTCGAGTTTCATTATGAAACTTTTGACACGACATGAGACTAGAGCTTTTTAGCAGAAAAACACGCTTCTGCTATTTGTACGTTTCTTATACGTTTTCTTATACTTTTTCAATAATCCATTCAAAGTTATAACAGAGATGCTCAATACTCCTATATATCAACACTCATCCATTAGATTCAGCAGATGGTATTTTTCTCCTCATGTTTGTAATTGCATAATCTTACTCCACAAAGTAAAATCTGCTGATGAAAAAAAAAAACCATTAATTTGGCATACAAGCTGTTTAGGCTGCATTCTACCCTTTATACAAGGTCAAGGTACAAAGGCTACAGAGACTGTGTTCCCCCCTTTCATCACCAAAGGTGACACCCATTCCATAAACAGGACCATCTGCCACAGATATCAAGGGTAAACATGCAGCCCTGTACCGATTTAAAAACTGAATACATTGATCAATTCAAATCAAAGTAAAAAGCCTCCCTATTGATTGGCAAAGCACTGGGACAATAGGACTGCATTCAGAGTGGCTTTAATTCCGTCAATACTTTGACCAACGGTTGGGTAGGAGATCAAACCTTATCAAAAGGCTGGACTACCCGACAACAGAGTACGAAAATGACAAAAGCTGTTAGTTACAAAAATATATAAACCAAACAACCCACATGGTCATTTACGGATTTAGGAGGGGTTGGAAAGCAAATTGGTATTGTCAGACAAAATAAGGCATTAGAGACGCATTGATTGTGTGGTATTATATAGACTTCAAATCCTATAATCACAATATTTCTTTACAGTAATCTGTCATTAATTTTAATGTGACTTCTCTCACGGATTAATTCTATGAGATCCAGACTTTTAACTTTGATTGAACAATCCAATAAGAGTCATATTAAGAATTTCGAAACACATATGCTGGACTAATAGTAATTTATCTATATCAGGAAGATATGCCAGGTAGCTATGTTGTAACACGTCTTCCTAGGAAAAACTCTAGAGGGCATTGTAAATTTTATTGTATTCCAAAGGTTACTCATAGAGAGATAATCAGAGGCTATGTGCATATATGAATGTACATGTACATGCATAAATCATATTTGGAATGACTCAACAATTTCCTTTGCATGTTGTATTTTGATATTTCACCTAAAAAAAATATTTAGGTGTATGTATCTATATATATGTAAGTAAAATTAAGTTTGTGGCTTTTTTTTCATTCTAAATCAATATTATCCAGTTGAATCGGAGACCACCTCCCACATTACATCACATTTATCACTGGAGCCCATGCATAATTCACATCCCGCAAAACAATTCTCTGCCATGTTGTAAAACAATACCCACACATACAACAGCGTCAGCCCGCAAAAAAAAAATCCATCTTCATTCATCTGAATGAAAACAAATAACAGGAAAGGTATGCATTTGTATACAGAAAACTAAAAATTAAGAAATAACACCTGGATTGTAACAAGTGAAGATCAGGCAAACAAGAGGCTCTACTTTATGGGACAAACCCCCTGTAGTACTTGACTCTGGAATATTGAAGTCAGCCCCTATAACTGGGTGGCACCCCAGAACATGTCTGTATTACTAGGAAGATACTTGTTTCACTTATCATCCATTATCTGAATTAATATTTTCCTCCCTCACTGTAGAGTGACATATATATACAAACACCTGTTAATGGACCCATAAACAAAAAGGGTTTTTTTTTTCTTTCTTTTTTTTTATTACCCTTTTGTTAGTTACAAAACCACTTAAGAAGAATGACCCACAAACTTGAGCATCCAAAAAACAAAAGCCCGTTGGATAGATGCTTATGGTCTGCGTGTGTTCCCCTGCCATGAATAACCAAATAGGCATCTGTTAAAACAGTGGTCGGAGTGAAATCAGTAGCACACAGCATTGTGTTCAAATTTGTATGCATTCCTTCTGGCCATAAAGTCAACTGCCCTAAACACCACCATGCATAAAACACATCAATAGCCCTACCATATGGCTTAGGAAATTTCCCAGGAGAAGAAAATTATTGCTCAGTTAATAGTGTCTGTATGTACTAAAAGTATTCTGAAAATGGCTGTGTGAATATCAAACAATGGGGCAGATTTCCTCTCATAGATATACAAAGATAATCTGATACTTTTATCATTTTATTATCTGTAGATTATAATAACACTTGATTTTTTTTAATTTTTGAATTCAAATACATGAAACATTTACACAGAACTTACTGTAATTTATCTGAAATGAGAGAAGAAAGTCAAATGCAAGTGTTCCCTTATCGATAGGAAATAAACATGTATATTAACTGACTGCTAATTGAGCAATTAACAGTTTATTTGGTATATCAAAATCAGTAAACAAGCTGTGAATGGGGTCAGATTAGTGTTAAATAAATAAAATTTTGACTCCAAGGTCATGATATAAGTAGAGATATGCATTAAATCAATATTTACTTTTAATATGTTCAGTTTGCACACACCTTTTCTTTAACATGTCATGCTGCAAGACTTTAGTCATGCTTTAAGATTAAAGAATGCAGTGATGTGGGTTTTTTTTTTTTTTGGATGTTTTATAACTGAAAAACTCATGATATTTAAATATAAGCTGATAAGTTTTCAATGACTACAGAAAATTATAGATGGATAAAACTACGCACTTTGTATCATCAACAGAATAACGAAATTATGCTGCATCAAGTTACACTGTGTATACATATTTATCATGTTTATATAAACTTTTTTGTTTAAGTAACACTGCAGTATAAATTTAAAGTGCTTTTTATCATGCTTGTGCACCATTCTATGACAATTAAAAATTTCTTTGATTTAGTTAAGAAAAACCTATTTTATTTAGCTCTTTTAAATCAGGGACTTATATACTAAGTATATAAGTCCCTGTTTAAATATACTAGCTTTTACTTTAGAAACTGTATATTTGCAAGTAATCATTATTTAAACTTTCTGTAAATTCTCCTTGGATAAATAAATGTTTTACCGGTACCCATTTTTTTTAAGTTAAATTTTCAAAGCTGCATCTTTTTTTTCTCATGAAAACTTGTATCATACTTGGAATTTGTCGATTTTGAAACTATTAACAGTAACATATTAAAATTTTGCATATTGTCCTAATCATATAAGGAAAAGTTCAGTCAAAAAACGTAGGGTTATCTCAATCAAAAGCCTTGAATAGTTCTATCCATACCTGGCAGTTGTGGAGCTCTCTCAACTTATCATAAAGCCAGTCCTCCACTGCTAATCTTTTGCGAATCAACATCATTTGGTGTTGTCCATACTTAGCTGTCAAATATTTCTGACGCTTGTCTTTTTCCTCTTCTTTATTTTTATGATTAAAACTAACATGAGTCTCTGAAGAGTTTGGTCGTCCAGAAGAAATATTCTGTTTCGGAGTATTTCTGTAAGAATCCACGGAACTTGCTTGATTATATTCCGTGTACGTCGCCATATCTAACACTTACTTCTATCTCCATTCATTAACTGAAATAAAGATATTCATGCGCGCTATCATAAGGAGGAAATGACAGACATTTTTCTTAAATAGGTTTGGTTTCTATACATGTATTATAGATAAATAATCAAAACCAAAACCAAGAATACAGATATAATGACGCAAATTAAATATTTACAATGGACTATATTATGTGCCACAGGTGCTCTTTTGTTTACGTTTAAGGTCACTCTATATTTCAGACTATATTTTCCAAAACGAAAATACTAAAACACCAATGAGCAATAGATGGAAACGAACATCAAATACATTTGCAACGATTTTTCCCTCAATAAACAGATTAATAGTAAGTTGTGGGAAAGATGTGATTTGAAACTCAATTTTCGTTCATGTGTAAAATTAAAAAGGGGGGGGGGTATTGAACAGTGAGGGATCTTTTTAGTGCCAGCAAAGGTCTACTGCGACTCGGGGCCTCGGTTTTTTCGCGGTCTCATCCGAACGACCGGTCTCGACGTCCTATAGTGGGGTTCGAACTCTCGGCGGAAAAATCAACTATTATAATACATATACTCTAACCACTGCAACACGCTTGTTTCAGAAAAATTCTTACAGATAGACAGAATGAATAAGTCTTACACTGACCACTTAAACCAGTAAAATATTAAGTTTCTCAAAATTGTTAAAATCCGTCCATCAAATCTCAATCTCCATGATCTCACAATTGAAGATCTGAAAACGGCGTCCTAATTCAAATGTGCCAAAATCAAACATATATCAACTTTTAATCAGTTTCTGAGTGAATGTGAATCTTTCAGTAGGACACTGAGTTGATTGACCGAGGTCAGGGGAATACTCGGTGGGGATGTCCGGTCTCCTCCATGGCACTTAATTCCACCTCTGATCATTTTAGAGGGTTATAATTGCTCAGCTCTAAATTTGAATTATTTCAAAGGGCATTTGAGCTTGATTACAGGTTGTTATTTCCATATTTCATTGATTATGTTCTTTACAGGTCTGCAGAGGTATAATAGTATTTTTCCAAAGAAAATTTTCCTCCAGATGCTGCCCCCTTTTTGTTACTGTATTTATAAGATATGGCACTGCAAATTTCACTATTTTGACAGTAAATTGCTAGTTGTTTTTTTAAGCATTTATTTTTATTTGTTGTTGTTGTTGTTTTTATTATCATCATTATCATTATTATTTTGAACACGAGACTGTAGTAATTTCAAAATATAGAACTAGTATAATATTTAGATTTTTATATGTAATACATCTAATTTAATATTATAAATTTATATAAAATACCGGTAGTATAATATTTTCTTTAAAAAAAACTTATATATCAAGGACAAAATTCGGTTCCCTTTGAGAGAAGTTCCATACCGTGATTTTTTAAATCTCCAATCTTTTTTTTTTTTTTTTTACATCGGATTATAAGCAATCTAAAAAGCCGATTAAAAATAAAACAGGAGAACTCCCCCCTTCTTTGGCTGAGGATCCCTAAACAGTCACATGACTCCTTTATCAGTTTTATCAGTTTTGTTCTAGTTACGTCCTTGCACGTTTTTTTTCCATTATCGTATCTGCTACTGTTACAGAAGCGATAAAATTAGAATTTAGAATTTGGAATATTCGCGGTCGCGAATTTCTTTTCGTGCTGTAGAATATAAATCGGAAAAATGATTGCACCTGCGTATTAAGTATTTCCGTTTTCTGTGGACATTTGTCAATGTGTAGACGTAAACAATGAAAATACTGTTCTATTTCGCCTCTTTATTAGTTTTAGTGCTTACAAAAGAGGACATTAGTGGATTAGATCAGTATCTTCAAGATCCCAGTTTCTGGCAATTTGTGGAAAAACGCCTGGGCTCAAAGAATGACGTAGAACAGAAGGCCCCAGTGCCTGTCACTGAATCTCCGCCGAAAGTGAATGATCAGTATGATCCATTTAGGGATCAATCTGATGAAGACACTTCGGTTGCAAAGAATGACCAGAAACCAAAACAGCAGGATGATTTAATGGAAGACACGCTAGGAAACCTCTGTCAATACAGGCCGAATGCAAGCTTGATTATTCGTTCCAAAGCTTCAATCAACAATGGTGCTTTCTTCTTGAAGTCATTTAACAGAAGAACACAGAAAGAATGTGTTAATGCTTGTTGTTATACACAAAGCTGTAATTTAGTTGTGTATGAAAACAAGGTGTGCAATGATTATGTGTATCAATATTTGATTATATACATGTATTGGTCATTTACATGAGACAAGTGTTGCAAAATTCATTTTACTCATTTTAGACAGAACATTTTATCATTAGTACAGTTCTCAGTAAACCTTGGACTTTCAGTAAGGCATGGTATTCTTCATGATACCTTTTTAGCATCTGAAATTTACACAGCCTCAGGGTCTAAACTTGACACTCGGCCACTGGCAAATTGCGAGTAAAATTTGGTGTGGGCTCATAAAATTTATAACTTGCTCGCCCACGTGGCAAATCAAATTCTCTAGGGAACTAAATTCATTCCCAGTCCCCTTCTGAAAACTAGATATTTCCGCAGGTTTTTGAGGCCTAGAAAAAAAATATGTTTGTTTCCGCTTTCCTGACTGACCCTAATTTATAGTGCCGACCCTAAATATTTTTTTAATGCTTTTGTCCCATGATGTGCAAGATTTCAACCAGGGAATTATAGCCTCCAACTTTGCAAGCTTCTCAAAACAGAAAGAAGTTTGGGTCACCTTTCTATTATAAGTTAATTCACAGTAACGCTTGAAAACACCATTTCTTTTGTCATTAATGTTACTTCTATACACGTTTTGATTAAAGAAGCAAAAAAAATTTTTCAAAAAAAAAAAAATTGCCTACCTACCCTATATTTTTTCAGCCTGAAAGCGGAAACAAACATATTTTTTTCTAGGCCTGATTTAAAACTCCCAACCAATGAAATAAATTACAGCAGCATGGTCCTATTGTTCATAAATATCCTTCCTCTTTTCCATTTGACAGTACCACATGATTAACCAAAAAAATCTTATTTATGTGTCATTGTCACTTCATCAGTTGACTGCTGAAGGAGCAAATACATGTATATACATGTATAAAGGGGGCCATGTATATTACCATGTTAAAAAAAGAATAGTAAAAGTGTTGATTGAATTCAATTTTATTTCCTTTGATGAAATATTTATATGGCATTTGATTTTTGTAAAGTAAGAACTCCAGTCTTAAACAAATGTATTTGTACATGTATTTTATTTCTAGCTATTTTTGTCCCAGTGTCTACAAAAGGTTTTTTTTTTTTTTAAAAAAATCACAGAGACTGTGGGCTAACAAGTTTAGCAGTGGGCTCCTAAATTTGAAATGTTAAGACCCCACATGGCTAGTGGAAATTTCAGTTAAGTTTAAAACCTGAGCCTTTTATTTACTGTTGAAATATACATTTGAGCGAATGTCAACAAGTGTAGCAGTGACCCAATGATAGCATTTCGTATAGCAAATCATTGTCAACAGCAATTTAAAGTTGTAGATGTTATTAATTTCTTAACCAGTGAGAATCTATTTGCCATTTGGGAGATGCTAATTATGTAGTGTCGAGAAAGTCATGCCCTACTGAAAGTCCAAGGTTGACTGAGAATTGTACTAAAATGATATTGTCCTATGGACTAGTTAATTGATTGTGTAGATAGACCAGACCAACCCTCGTCAATGATTTTTTTTCAGCAATAAATTCATATAATAGGATTAGTCAAATCTCAATTACAAATGATAAATTATTTTATATTTTTTTCTTCATTGACAGACATTTATAAAAGTAAAAGTTCTTTGAAAGTTGATGTACCAAATGATTTAAGGAAGTCAGTTTGTTCAAAACCTTGTATTTAAATTTTGTTTCTTTTTGTAGGATGAGCACAGCTGTTATCTTTTTAACTGTGGATCACCCAGTAAATGTTTATTTGCTGAACATGCAAATTACACATCACTGTTTTTTCCTAATCATGCTGCACCAAGTACATCACTCAATGGACATCAACAACAACATGAAAATGAATTGGAGGGGTTAAATTCTAAGGTGACTCTCAAACCAACAACACAGGTCCCAAAAAGAAAGGGTGAGTATATTCTCTTTATTAAGTCAATAAAAATAGCTACAAACAAAATTATCTTTTCATTCTGAGGATTTAAAAGATTTCAAGAATAAGAATTCCGGCACTCAATAAGATTGTTCTATGTAATATATTAGAAAGAGTTTTATTTGCAACTATTTTACCAAGATGATCAAAGAGGTAGACTAAAATATGATCATCACCTGAAACTGATGGAATAATATTACATGTGGTAGTTTTATGTTTTAAAAAAAATTCTAATTATGTTGGTTTCTTTACTGTTAAAATTTCCACTGACTGGTGTAAATAACGTACTGGAAATCTGGAATACATGTGTACCAGCTTTAAATATTAATTTTTCTTTACTTTACAGTTCCTCTGTATGGAAAATGTGACATTGATTGGAATGATGAATGCAGTGATAGAAATGCAGAATGTAGAGACAGGGAATGCAAATGTTCATATGGATTTCATGCTAAATATGGAATTTGTAGTAAGTATGACAATATATGTTACTACAATACTATATGTGCCATTTTGCTTGAATCCTTCATTACATATACATTCAAGAAAAAAAAGCAGGGGCCTGAGTGTTCAAAGGTTTTAAACAAATATACCTTTCATCCTAAAAATAAAAAAGAAAAGTTCTGCTCATGTATTGATATTGGGTCTGTGATTTTTTTGTCCACTTCTTAAATATATTTCTTTGTCTTTTCATAGCATTATCTCAGATTTCCGAAAAATATACTTTGCTGTTCATGCATGCAATGTCTTGCTTTTTATACCAATAATTGTTTGAAATTCCATGTTTGAGACATCACTAAGTCATAAAATTGACACAATACATGTATAGGGTCAAGAAAATGTTTAGAAGCTAGGGAACAATGAAAAAAGTGCATTGAATATTTGAGAAGACTCAAACCATAGATTACATAAAAGTTCAGATAAAATTCTATTTTGCCATGTGGGTGAAAACATCTTCAAAAGTTAGTCAACTATGGACAAAACAACTTGCATTTGCAAGTGGGTGAGTGGTTATTTGCAAACCTGCTATTTGTGAACCCCTAGGTATAGGTATATATTTTAATGATATATATTACAGGCATACTTGCCAACCTCCAGCATGTAAAAATCTGGTCATGACCAGATTTGGAAAGTAAAAAATCTGGTCATAAAGCGTAACGACATTCACGACATATTTACCATGATTAAATTTTATACATATATATACAAAGTATGTGTGTATTGAGAATTCTTTTATTGAAAAAGGATTTAATTTACTACGACAAAAAAATCCATGGATAATTTGATTTAAATTTTCATGTTAAAAAAAAAATGAAAATTGAAGGTTTCATGTATTTGTATTGACCTGAAGTAAGCGTGCATTTTTTAAAAAACCTTTTCAGTTTCTGCTAAATTTGAAAGTATACCAATTTCAGTTTTGAAGTTATTTTTCCTCTCTCTTAATTAATTAATTACTGCAATATGTTTTAAATGTGAAGTTAGGCCTATACTGTTATCGATCACTTTATTTTATCTAGAATGAAAGTTTTTTTTCCAAGATTCCTTGATATGTACATAAATATCGTTTCTCTTTTTCTTGGTTCAATCAGAGACATGTGTTTAGTTCAACTTGTTCCTGTTGGTCCTGATAACGATCTGATTCTATCAGAAGCCATTTTAATTGACTTCAAACATTGTTTGTCAAAACAACACCCAGTTATAATTGTTTACACCTGCACTGATAATTAATCCATCGGCATTGTTTACGTAGATCTAAGCTTGGGTTGTAACTGGAAGTTAAAAGTGCAACCTAATTTACGAGCAAAATCCGGAAAATCGGGAGATTTTCGGGTTGATCGGCAAAAATCGGGTGATAAGCATGACCCGCCGGGTCATAAAAAATAATCGGGTTACGGGTTGAAAAATCGGGTGTGACCCGACGAAATATATATATTACAGGTCAAAAATATATAATTTTTAAATGAATTCTCTTTCACTTATAGGGGCTAATTGTCCAGACTCTGAGTTTGAATGTGAGAACAAAGGTCAAAGGGTTAATGTCCCAGAATGCATTTCAAAGGAACATGTATGTGATGGCCAACCCCAGTGTGCCGATGGTTCTGATGAAGAAAAATGTCCAAGTACAGGTAAAAGTAAATTTTACCGGTAGTTTGAAGAAATTGTTTTAAAATTACATGAGATTTTATGTTATTAACTTTCAATACAGATTAAATTTTATGTAGAATTTGTGTATATAATATGATGAAATGATCTGGAGATACAACTGCTCTAACATGCAATATACATTACATACATGTACATGTACTTGGTAAAGATACAGGTTTTAACATGTGCAATATTTTGAAATTTCGTTACATTTGATATAAAGTCATGTATTCTCTATGTTAAATTGCATTTCTTTAATTTTCACTTTTTGTGATAATGTTTTCTTACTAACAATGATTAGCCTTGACAACAAAAACAACATCAACAACAACGACAACAACAACAACTCCTAAACCGGTGACAACTAAACCCTCCCAGCAGAATGTTAACAGTCTGGGAGTGAACGACCAGATACTACCCCAGTACTTCCCAGGTAATCTGAACAAGTTACCAACTGGATCTGATTTATATAATGGTAACGGCTACTACTGGCCATCTGGATACGGCCGGATGTATGGATCCCAGAGTTATCCGTACGGTAGATTCCAGCCTGGAGCTCAGTATCCATATGATCCTCGATTTTACAACTCCTATGACAGCAGTGGAAGACAATATGGGAATGGTTACATAGATCCAGTCAGAGGATATTATGATAAGTCAGTTCCTGATAGTAAGAGTGTCAGTTCCCAGACTGGATCAGGTAATGGAAGGGCAGGAAGTCCAAAAACGGATCATTCCAATGAAAAGCTTATTCCCCTCTCTCAAGGCAGAGATGGAGCACTAGATATAAATAGAAGTGGTAAAAAAGGATCAGACTTTCAGAAGGAGGTCCAAGTCAAGACAACGCAAATGCCAACAACAGTAAATCCAACCACAAGGCAAGTCACCACCAGGGGGAGCTTTAACACATGGAAGATTTCAAATCAGCAGACGAATTGGGACAAGACAAACAAAGATAACACTGGTTGGAGAGGAAATTTTGAGAATTCTAAGACACAAATTAATCATGATATTCCAAGTTGGAAAAGTAATGAAGGAACACAGAAATCTGCTCAAGAAAGTCAGAACAAATGGCAAAATGTGATGGATTCATCTCAGAGTACTAAATATGACCAGGTCATGGATAATGCAGACCACAGTTTAGGAAAAGGTCCACTAAAACAACAGACCCCTTCTGATAAGACGGATTGGCAAAAGTCCTCTCATGATAAGCAACAAACAGATGGAAGTTCTGCTGATAAAATACAAACAGAAAAACAGGATGTTCCTGTGTCACAAAGTGGTTCTGGTGCGCAAAGGAACTGGAATCAGCACACAGAATCTAATATGGATAACAATAGCCATGGCAATACAGGCATTGAGACAGAGGTAAAGGGAAGTCAAGGGGGTGGGAGCCAAGGAAGGGTGAGTGAAGGAAAATCAGAAAGTGGTGGATCCAAGGATAAAACTAGTGGTGGATTTCAAGGAAAATCAGATAGGTGGCATCAGCAACAGGAGTGGGCGACTGGAAGGAATAAAGACATGGGTCAAACAAATAATAGACATAAGGGTCAGGATATTAGAAATGGGGGGAGCCATCAACAGGGGAGAACCAGGGGAGGATCAAAGGGAAGGAAGGGTGGTGGGTACCACAGAAAACAAAGTAATGACAATGCTTCAGATAGATTGACTGACAATTCCAGCAAAGATTTCACATCAAAGCAACAAGTCAAGCCACAGAACACAGACTATGACAATTATTTTCAAGAGACTTCACAAAATGGACAAAATGTTGCTGGACCCAAAAAGCATGGATACAGAAAACCAGCTTACAAAAGCCAGAAGCCCCACAGCTATCAGTACTATGATGGGTATCGTCCAGACCCCTACTGGAATTATGACTATTACAACTACAATGATCACCCCGACAAGAAGTACCCCCCTCCTTATGACCAGACAGACTCAGGTAGTAGGTGTTCTCTAGATGTTGTCAAGACTGTTGTAGGGGCCCAATCTGTCCATTTCTTGTCAAGAGTATTGTAGAAAATGAGTTGTTGTCTCTAGATGTTGTCAAGATTTTTGTAGTGAACTCTCTGAAATGTGTCATGATTAATTCTTTAATTCTTGTATTTTTTTTATTTTATTGGTCTTAGTTGTTACCTATTTTTATTATTTTTAGCTCACCTGAGCCGAAGGCTCAAGTGAGCTTTTCTGATCACATTTTGTCCGTCGTCCGTCCGTCTGTCTAGCTGTCTGTCTGTCCGTCCGTCCGTCTGTAAACTTTTCACATTTTCAACTTCTTCTCAAGAACCAATGGGCCAATTTTAACCAAACTTGGTACAAAGCATCCTTGGGTAAAGGGGAGTTTAAATTGTAAAAATGAAGGGCCGAATCCCCTTACAAGGGGAGATAATCAAGAAAAAACAAAAATAGGGTGGGGTCACTAAAAAATCTTCTTCTCAAGAACCACTGAACCAGGAAAGCTGAAACTTATGTGGAAGCATCCTTGGGTAGTGTAGATATTAAATTGTTAAAATCATGACCCCCGGGGGTAGGGCGGGACCACAATTCCAAGTTTTACATAGAAATATATAGAACAAATCTTTAAAAATCTTCTTCTCAAGAACCACTGAACCAGGAAAGCTGAAACTTATGTGGAAGCATCCTTGGGTAGTATAGATATTAAATTGTTAAAATGATGACCCCCGGGGGTAGGGCGGGGCCACAATAGGGAATCCAAGTTTTACATAGAAATATATAGAACAAATCTTTAAAAATCTTCTTCTCAAGAACCATTGGGCCAGAAAAGCTGAAACTTATGTGGAAGCATCCTTGGGTAGTGTAGATATTAAATTGTTAAAATCAAGACCCCTGGGGGTAGGGCAGGGCCACAATAGGGAATCCAAGTTTTACATAGAAATATATAGAACAAATCTTTAAAAATCTTCTTCTCAAGAACCACTGGGCCAGGAATGCTGAAACTTATGTGTAAGCATCCTTGGGTAGTGTAGATATTAAATTGTTAAAATGATGACCCCCGGGGGTAGGGCGGGACCACAATAGGGAATCCAAGTTTTACATAGAAATATATAGAACAAATCTTTAAAAATCTTCTTCTCAAGAACCACTGAACCAGGAAAGCTGAAACTTATGTGGAAGCATTTGGGTAGTGTAGATATTAAATTGTTAAAATCATGACCCCAGGGGGTAACAATAGGGAATCCAAGTTTTACATAGAAATATATAGAACAAATCTTTAAAAATCTTCTTCTCAAGAACCACTGGGCCAGGAACGCTGAAACTTATGTGGAAACATCCTTGGGTAGTGTAGATATTAAATTGTTAAAATCATGACCCCGGGGGGTAGGGCGGGTCCACAATAGGGAATCCAAGTTTTACATAGAATTATATAGAACAAATCTTTAAAAATCTTCTTCTCAAGAACCACCGGGCCAGGAAAGCTGAAATTTATATGGAAGCATCCTTGGGTAGTGTAGATTCTAAAATTTTAAAATAAAGAAGGGAAGGGGGTAGTTGGGCATGATAGGTATAGCAAGAAGGGGAATCTGGTAAAGATCTGCATCACCCAAGTTACTCAGGTGAGCAATGTGGCCCATGGGCCTCTTGTTTTTAATTGGTGTACATCTACTTTCTATATCGGCATTTTATACATTAGTTTATGTGTATTTGTTGTGACTTTTTCATTTTGTCATAGAGGTAGAACATTATTGTTACATAAATTTGCATTCATTTTATATATTGTGCATGTGTATAGTTGTTGTCTTTTTTGTAGGCAGATAGCATTTACAATGTATTTTGAAATATTCAACATACCGTATAAGTGGAAATTTTAGGGAGATGCAAATTTAGTAATTTGTCTTAAAAACTGGTATTTTATTTTTAGCGAAATGTAATTTTAGTGATTTTAAAATGCTCACTAAAGAAGCTATTACAAATAAAACACAATTAATTTTTAGCGATATTCAATTTTAGCGATCCTGGCCCCCTTGCTAATAATGCCAAAATTAAATCCTCGCTAAAAAATCTGCTATACAGTATATATTATTGAATTCATTACATAGTAAATGTAATTGAATAACATCTTAAAAAAGATTATGATGGAAAAGGTAAAAGGTTCTACATATAATTGCAGCAAATTGTTAAGCTCAAAGAAAATTACAGTGTAATGTGATCTTTAAAATTATTACAAACATAACAAAAAAACGATACCATTCTTTTAATATTCTTTCTGTTCTGGACTGCTTGTAGATAATGACAGAGATTGGTTCCACAAATCAAATCCTGACGTGGATGATGTTGATGACAATGACGATGATAAAGGTAATGGCTTTTCATTTTATAGCATGATGGGCCCAGGATTTATGATAAGAATATAATTTTTGTTTTGTTAGTTATTTTATTGATAATAAATTGATAATTGGCAATTGAATTTTAACTTCAAGTTTGAAATAAAATTGTGTTGTTCAGAGTCAAGGACTTGCATACTAATGAACCAATGTATCTTGTCAGGGACCAAAAGTTGCCTAAGATGCAAAGAAATTTGCCAAAATTAGAGGCACTGTGTTTCACTCTCAAATTTTCAAAAGATTTTTGCATTTAAATAATACATGTACATCCTAAAACTTTTTCTCCTATGAAATGTCACTATGATCCTTCTCTGTTTCTCTAAATATATTTTTACCAATTACCTTTATGTGTTTTATACTAGGAAAAAAACTGCCGCCCACTCCAAAGGCACCGCCAATACCCACACCAAGACCAACACAGAAAACGAAATCAACAGAAGCTCCCGACATGACAGAAATAAAACACATAGACCCAACAAAGGGAAAGAAAAATCCAGATGTAGGATCTAACTCTGCTAGCACTACTGACAAAAAGCCTCAGATATCCGGCACCAAGACAGAGAAAATACAAACATCCAAGAAAAATTCCACAGATTCCAAAGCCCCTGACAGTGGGGGATTGTTGGAGGAGGCCGTTCAGACCCACGTGGTGGTGGAGAGCCCTACAGACAGTCACCAGGGGCCTATCGTGGCCCTGGCCCTGGGGCTCGGCATCACTGTTATACTCCTATTCTTCGTGGGCTGTCGGCTGAGGAACGTTAAAAGACGCATTAGGAAAGGAAGGGCTCTTCATTCCAATGAAGCAGATTATTTAATTAATGGAATGTACCTATAAAAGATGGCATTACTTTGGGAATTGGTAAATTACGTTATAATTATTTGTTCAAAAAGGTTTATAACTACTATTCAGTTTCAAATGGGAATCAATCAAAATCAATTGTATTATTGAAAACAAGTACAATTTTGTATTATGAAATTTTAAATAAATGTTCCCTTTATTATGGTTCCCATTTACAGTTGGATGTAACTGAACTTAATTTTTACTTTTCAAGTTGGCAATAAATCCACTTGCTCATAGATCTACCCCACCAAAGATGATTGAATATGCACAAATTTACTATTTTTTTTAACTGAATCTCAAATACTCCTCTTACTTTAAAGTAATATTACATGTATTTTTTATGAAATCATAAAAGAACAAACAGATATTAAAATTGAATTTTTTCGTGAGAAATAAAATTTTGTGATCTGAGAAATCCTTTGTGAATTACTTGTCATGTCATGTGATGCAATATTTGTACCAGTGCAATGAGAATTTGGTTTTTGTTATAAATTTTAAGATATAAATTAAGTTTTTTGTCAGACTGTGATTTTGAATATGAAATCCTTAAGTTAGTGAAGTCCATTCTTTTCTTATTTTTTACATGTACATGTGTTTTCTGTGAATTTGCATTCCAAAAAAAAAAGTTTTTCTTCTTTTAAGAAAATTTTCATGTTTATCCTGATAGAAAGTGAAATGTATTGATTAAATTAATTTATTCAGGTAGTGTGTGCAATACATGAATAACTGTATTTTCTGATTAAGATTTTTTTTTCTCTCTCTGACAACCCATTTGTAAAAGGTTAAAAAATATATATAATATGATGACATTTTTTTTTTTTTAGATGTTAGGACAGTTAGATGTATATGTGCACTAGGTTTTATAATCCACTTAGAATACTTAGAAATGACAGTATATCTTGTAAAGTACAAATTTTAAAAAATTCAAAAAGTCAACATTAATTGCTAGTTTATTCTTCATAAATATTTTCTTATATATATTTACTGAAAACATTCCTGTAACAATATGAACTAAGAATCTTGGGTTGTGACAGTAACATAAATTATGTTCTTTTTGTATTTTTGTACCAGTGTCTTTATTTTTCTTGTTTTCCGTCTTGTTGGCATGTATTGTTATTTGTATAGAATTAAAAGATCTGGGTTTCTAATTTTTTTTCTTCAGTTTATTAAAATAAGGAAGTATTTTCACCATTTCTTCTTGACTTGCCATTGAGTAGAATAATTTTATTGCTGAACACAATTTGGCATATGAGAACCAGCATTCCGAGAGCAATACTGGTCCTCTACCATCAGGTGT